GTACATGAAGTATATGCTGTGGATGTTCTCGTCAGCTCAGGAGAGGGCAAGGTGAGGAGAGCAGCAGAGTTAGCAGAAGGGATGGCTGGCTGAGGGTATGTTCACCAGATAAGTGTGACCTGACTTAACTCTTTTAGGCCAAGGATGCGGGACAGAGAACCACCATTTACAAACGAGACCCTTCTAAACAGTATGGCCTGAAAATGAAAACTTCACGTGCCTTTTTCAGTGAGGTGGAAAGGCGTTTTGATGCCATGCCATTTACTTTAAGGTACTGCTTTTAGTAAAAACAGGACTTGAAACCATTCTGACTCAGAACCTGTACTCAGGAACGCTTTTCCCTCCTACATCCTTCCCTTCCTCTTCCCTCCTGCCCAGACTTGTAGCTGGTGCATGCATACACTAGCTCCCTCCCTTCCACTCTCTCCCTGTCTCCTCATTGAAGGTAATATAAAAGAGCAATCCTAAACATGATTTCTGCCTGAGGGTAGGCGTGATCCAAAAACATGAGCAAAATGGGGCTAGGGGTATAACTCAGTGGTAGAGCACTTGCCTAATACATGTGAGGCCCTGTGTGTAATCCCCAGCACCACCACCACCAAAAAAAAAGTAAGCCATCTTTTGGTGGGGAGTCAAGGAAATCTCTGAATTCCATTTATCCCTACCCAGAGCATTTGAAGATGAGAAGAAGGCTCGGATGGGTGTGGTGGAATGTGCCAAACATGAGCTGCTGCAACCATTTAATGTTCTCTATGAGAAGGAGGGTGAGTTCTGAGATGAGATTTTCACTTTGGAGCCCCTGATTATATGGCATCCTTTTCCCATAGCTTCACAAAAGAGCTAGATTGACAAAGGAATGTTTTATCGAAATAATCTTCATTTTCCTCATAGGTGAATTTGTTGCCCAGTTTAAATTTACAGTTCTGCTCATGCCCAATGGCCCCATGCGGATAACCAGTGGTCCCTTTGAGCCTGACCTCTATAAGTCTGAGATGGAGGTCCAGGATGCAGAGCTTAAGGTTAGTGTGGAATGGAGAGTGATGAACATGTGGCACTTGTCCTGTGATGAAACCCTTGAGAAGTGCTGCAGTGCTAGCAATAACGCTGTTTCCTCAAAAATTGTTGCCTTCTTTGTTCTGTTTTTTAGGCCCTCCTGCAGAGTTCTGCAAGTCGGAAAACCCAGAAAAAAAAGAAAAAGAAGGTGTGTTCTGATCGTCCTCTTCTGGCAGGGGAACCTGAGTACTCTTTATTCTACCTTCCTGTGTCTTGGTGGAGTATAGATTTCTGCATATCCTGATATTACTCCTCTTAGCCTTGATGGAGAGGATCAAGATATTTTTAGTTTTGGTCCCCCCAGACACTATTCCTGAAGTATTTAGAAACTGATGTGCCTTCTTCTCCTTTTCTTGAAATGTAGGCCTCCAAGACTGCAGAAAATGCCACCAGTGGGGAAACATTAGAAGAGAATGAAGCTGGGGACTGAGGTGGGTCCCATATCCCCATCTTGCTGCTCCAGCCTCATCCCCTTCCCACTACACCCCAGGCTCTGCGAAGTGCAGTTCATCTTCTCCACCCAGGACCACCAGCAGAGCAGGGTCTCCCTGCCCTCATCCCAGTCCCCCTGCCCACCCCCTTCCAACAACAACCAGCTCCAACTGACTCTGGTTTTGGGAGGCCAGGCTTCCCAGCCACCGAAGACTACTTTAAATTGAAAAAAAAGAAAGAAAGAAATTGAATAATAAAATCAGGAGTCAAAATCCATCGTCTTCAAGCCCTCTTTCTAGCCTTTTCTACTATGCTTAATCAAGGTTTGTGAACAGGGAGGAGGCTAAATTAGCCACCACCACTAAAAACTCAGCTGAAATATTTTATACCACTCTGATGTCAACATTTTCTTATCCATCTTGGGCTTTTCTGTCTGATTTCTCACTCTCCCCAAGTATTTTATGCTCTCAAAATTAAGAGGAGCTGTTCTTCAGATTGTTTTTTATTCATATGTAGCAGATTCCTCATCTGATCCAGGTTGTCTAGTCAGGCCCTTCCCATGTTTAGGAGTTGAAGTCTCCATTTCTGAAGAAATTCTCATCTATCAAATGGATTCCCATTTGTAAATCTTTTTAGTTGTTTTTGTTCTTCAGGCTCACCCCCCCACCCCCATCCTTGACAAAACTGTAAAGAAATAAACCATCTCACCTGTCCTTTTCTCTGGAGTCAGTGGGGCCTTCCTTGCTCCTCCATTTACAAAAAAACCTAAGCTGGAAGTTCAACTGTGGTTTTATTCCCTGTTTGAAATATTTTGACCTCCCTCCCCTGAAAGAAATACCTGGAACCAGAGGAGTAGACTGAAGAGAGAACTCCTGGCTTTCTGAAGCTATGGACCTGGATTGGATGAATTGCTGGGGGTTTAATAGAGAAAGATGACATTTCAGTACCTCTGGCATGCTGTCCCAGGGAATCAGGGCTCCCACTAACTTATGAGGTTTTTAAACACATTGAAGATGATATAGCATTAAAATAAATTTGGATTTGCTCATAATATTGTGCCTTTGTATGTTACTCTTATTTTAACAAAGGTAGGAAGAATATAAGTCCAGGCAGTGATGATTAACTTGAAATTCTATAATGCTGCACTGTACCATTCTGAAACAAGGATTGATTGGGGATGGTGGGTTTACATGAATCCTAGATTCTTTGAAGATAACTAATCTGGCATTTTGGTTGTGATTTGATTTTCTGAAGCAGAAGCATCCTTCATTGCTGTCATTTGTTCAGGACTGGGGACAATTAATGTATACTACAAAAAACAATTGGCTAGGCATGGTGGCACTCTCCTGTAATCCCAGCAGCTCAGGAAACCCAGGCAGGAGGATCATCTGCAAGTTCAATGCCAGCCTCACCAATTTAGCGAGGCTCTAAGAAACTGAGACCCTGTCTTTAAACAAAATATAAAGATGGCTGGAGGTGTGCCTCAGTGGTTAACTGCCTCTGAGTTCAATTCTTAGTACCAAAACCAAAACAATACTGTCTAAACTCATACATCACCAAAAGTGAACCCTACTAGTCTGAAGTAGTGGTTCTATGGGTGTTGGTGTGAATGTGGATTGTCAGTTGTAACATATCACTGGGGATATTGTTAAGGAGGGTGACTCTGACTGTGAGGGCAGGGAATATGTGGAGGAAATAAATTTTTTGAGGTACTGGGGGTGGGACATAGGGGCATTATACCACCGAGTTATACCCTAGCTCTTATTTTTTTGAGACAGGATCTTGCTAAATGGCCCAAGCTGGCCTCAAGCTTGTGATTCATCTAAGCCTCTTGAGTAGTTGGGATTACAGGTTTGTGCCATTTTGGGAAATCTCTCTACTTTTAGTTTTGCTGTGATAAATGTTTTAAAAAGTAGTTAAAAGCCAGGGATGGAGGTACATACCTGCAGTCCCAGCCACTTGGGAGACAGAAGCATGAGGATTTGAGTTCAAGGCAGTCAATTTAGTGAGACCCTGTCTCAAATTTTTAAAAAGGGCCAGGCATGGTGGTATACACCTATAACCCAGCAGGCTGAGGCAGGATTGCAAATTCAAGGCCAGCCTTGAATTTAAGAGGCCATAAGCAATTAGGAAGATCTGTCTCAAAATAAATAAATAAATAAGGGCTGGAGGTATAGCTTAGTTGGTGGAGTGCTTGCCTTACAAGCACAAGGCCCTGCCTGGGTTCAATCCCCAACACCACTAAATAAATAAAATAGAGCTGGGTGAGGGGTGTGATTTGGTGGCAGAATGCCCCTGGGTTCAATCCCCAGAGGAAGAACGGGCAAAAAAAGTGACATTTCCCCTCAGAGTTTATAGACTAGTTGGCAATCCTGGTGGATCTGATATAATTGCTAGGGTTTTTATTTTTAAAAGTTTCATTATTTTTTTTGTGACAATTCTAGAACTACCTAAACATGTGGAACAAGAACCCTTAGTTTTAAAAACCTGGGGAAACCGCTTAAAAGAAGAAGGAATTATAGACACAAAAATCTTAACTATTTTAAGTGGTAAAATGCCTTGTTTGGCTAAGGGTTCTTTTTTATCCTTAATTACTCTGTATCCAAATCTTTTAGGTTGTTTTCAGTGTATCTCACCTGACTATACCATAAGATTAAGGTTCTTTAACATCAAATGTCATATTTTCCCTAAAGATGTTAGCTAATCTTGCATTCCCTAGTCTGTAATTCAGCGACTCCGGAGGCTAAGGCAGGAGGACTGCAAATTTGAGGATCCATGGCAATTTGAACCGTCTCAAAATAAAAAATAAAAAGGGCTGGGGGATGTAACTCAGTTGTAGAGTGTCCTTCAGTTCAATCCCCAATCTCAAAAATTAAAAACAACCCTAACAGTTTTCTGTACAAATTATGCAACAATTGTGACCAGGAGTCTCTAGTGACATTCTATCTCAGGCCTTGTGGGGGAAAGACCACACTCAGCCATTTCATTGTTGTTGAAAAAAGTTGTAGAAAAAAGTTGACGTATCTCAAACAGTGAGTGATAAGGGTCTCTTTTTAGCCTCCTGACTCCCCACTTTACATCCTTCCATGTTCTTAAGAACCTGCAAGCTCCTATATCAAATTTCCCTGCAGCAAATTACCTTAGAAAATAAAACAAACCAGTAAAATACATCAGAATTTTTTGTACAGCCCCCACCAATCCATAATAAAATGGAGGACTTCGCTAAGATACTGCAACTCCCAAGAAGCAATGAGGGAAGGCGGAAGCCATTATTTTTTTCCCGTCTGCATGTCTCGGTCCTGTATTGGAAATAGATGTCCACGCTGAAATAATACGAAGTCCTCAAAAATGGCTGGGGAGGGGGAAACTGGGAACTCCCATTCAAAACACTCTGCTACCCAAGAGAACCGCTGGATCACTTAACTGAGGGCGGAAGAAAGCCATTATTGCTTTCATTGGGCAGCCCCACCTCTAGGGGCAGGGCCGGCCGGCGGAAGTGACGACTACGATCGTTCCATTAAATAGCTGCAAGCGGAACTTTGGCGCTCTCTCGGCCTTAGCGCCATCTTCTCGGGTAAGTGTTAGTGATGTCTGTCTTGATTCCGCGTACAATCCGTTAACATCTGAGCTCTATATTTACCATCATCACAGCAAACTAACTCTAGCCTTTTTCTCTTTCCCTGTAGAAACCTCTGCGCCATGAGAGCCAAGGTGAGCGGTCCCTACCAGGGAACTTGGGGAGGTAGGAGTTGGCAAGGAAAGTCCGCCATAGTTTCCAATTGCTGGGTTCTCAAAAGTGCCCAAGAAATGGTGGGAGAAGGTAGCATAGTTTGGAGGAGAAGCAGAAGACAGCGAAGTCCTGGGTAGGGCAAGTGTAGACAAACGCAGAATTGGAGCTTCATGCGAATGTAAGTGTGTCTAATACTGATGTGATTGTTGTGACCAGGCTTTAATATTTGGTGAGGAACCTATCCGATTCTAAATAGTGGACTAAAAGCCTTACTTAAACCTTTTAATAAGACATTCTCTTTTTTCCCCCCCCTTATGTCTCTTGTGATTGATTTCTAGTGGAGGAAGAAGCGAATGCGCAGGTATGTTAACATAATCAGCCCAGGGTGAGGATGGTAGAGGATTCACCTTGAAAAAAGTCGCCTAGGAACATTTGGTTTAAATGTAAAACTTGAAGAAAACTGTAGGAGAAAAATGTTACAGAGCATTGCCTTGGCAAACCAGGGACTGAACACAGGACAGTTGGTAATGTGGGAAGGAAAAACAACTGTGTGTGTGTGTGGGCAGATGTATTCTTGTGTCTCCTTTTCAGGCTGAAGCGCAAAAGAAGAAAGATGAGGCAGAGGTCCAAGTAAACTAGCTTGTGCACCGTGGAGGCCAAAGGAGTGCCAGGGGCCGGGGACGTTGGTACAAGTTGGGCTGCCTCCTACTGTCCACATTTTGTCTCGGTGGATTTAAGAACTTACATCGCCACCTCGTCGTCAAGATCACCACTGAGAGAAGACCCACCTTGCTTTTAACATCCCCTGTTGGTCCTTTGCCCGGGACCTTTGGCATTCTGGACTAACTCGTTTCTCAGTTGTGGCCAGTGTAACGCGTGTACAATAAATCATCCCTTCTGTTTTAGCTGAAGAATTCAAATCGTTTTTTCCGTGTTTATTTCGATTCCTTTGGGTGGGCATTCTGTCATACAGTTTGTACCGGTTCCTTGCCTGTGCTGTGGAGAATGCTAAGAAACACATAAAGCCAAAGCCTGGGGTGTATGATGTGGTCTACATATGGATGGAGCTGAGGAGGGTGTTGTGTGCGTTTGAAACCTTTTTGAGGTTCGCGGGCAGGTTTTGGGAAAATTCCGGCATCACCCCTACTTGGCCTGGGACGTACGCTTGCGGAATTGTGCTTGAGGAGTACTTCACTGTGGTGTTAAAACGGGTTGCCATGGCAACACGCAAAGCTTGCTGGGAACTTCCTGTGTCGCTTCTCTGAACTACTCCGCGCACTATAGAGTGTAGTTCCGGGTCTGGTGACTAGAGCGTCACTTCTTCCGCAGGAAGCGGAAGAGCGACAGGGTGGGCGGCTCTTTGTCGAAGCTAGAGGACCGGCAGGCGGCAGCAGCAACTACGGCGGCGGCGGCAGGTGAGGGAGGCGGGAGACTTAGGTGGAGGCCGCGCCCGGAGGGGAGGAGTCGGCCGGCCCAGCGACTGGGCTCTGCCGGGCCTCACAAGCCCCTCAGAATGGAGCTGGCTCTTCCTCACACCCCAGGAAGACCCCCTTTTCTGACTGACCCCGCTTAGCGAGCAAACGCCAGCTCCGTGACGTCACAGCCCTGCCCATCTCAGCTTGATGTCATCTAGGGCTCCCTTTCCCCGCTTTACTTTGTGTTTCCTTAATGCCCTATTCACCTGGTCCTCTGCTGAGTGAGCGCAGCGCTACATGGAACCTACCAACCTAGAAGACTTGCTGCGGGGAAACTCCTAGACTTTTCGCAAACTCTAGGGTGCTTGGAAGCGTCATAATCACCGCCCCCAAGTCTAATCTGCCTTCCCGCTGCACTGTCAGTTGCTGCCATTTAACGTTCGTAACTCCAGTCCTAAGTAGGGCTTTGGTCCCTATGTCCTCCTTCATCTTGAGTCAGGGCTCCCCCTCACCCTGGTTCACTGAAGGACAGGTTTTTCAGTCTATCCTTTCAGGTTTTCTGAATCAGTTCTATTTCTTACTCCTCTTACTGGCGACTTCTCCCTTTGACAGGTGAAGTTCAGTTTGAACCCTAAGGAAATTCTTAAGTTTCCAGTGCTTTTACTGTTTTCAGAGTTCTTTCTGGTTGACAACCACCTCTTGGTCCTCCACTCTTACTCTTTCTCCCACCCACGTGTCTATTTTTTTTCTGTTCAGAACCCAGCAGTGATGTGGAGGTGGAGACCCACAGGAGCCCCGGACTTCACCTGAGCTACCTCAGGTATCAATTCTGGGAGAGTTTGGTGGGGTGGAGTATCATACCAAGTTATCTGTCTGGTGGTATTTGCAACACATGGATCATTTGGTCATTTTCCTTTCAGTAAGTTTGTATCTTTTACCATTATTATTTTAGGGCTACCTCCATTTGAAGGAAGAGGATCTTTTTTTTTAAATATAGATTCTTGTGTAACTCTGGCCTCTGACCTGGTCGGTTATTTAGGAAGATATAAAGACCAAGATAGGTCAGTAGACTGTCCAGAGATATCAGAAGAGATTCCCCTAAGTTTAAGGGGAAATAATATGAAATTTTCCTATTTGAACAGCAGAGGGAGCCTGAACACTGCCTAGGAAAGGTTTAGGAAGTTAAGACACGTGGTGGCAGGGACTCCCTGTCTTCTTGGGGGTGGAGAGAGGGGAGGGCTATAACTAGGGCAGTGGACTGACATTCCAGAGCTCTCTTGGGAAATAGGAGACTTAAAAAGCTTTTATAGAGTCTATAAATAAAAGGATCTTTATGGGGTAAGGGATGGTGTGGTTTGATGTCAGTGGGATCTTTTCATGGAGAGGTAAAAGGTGGGTGGGGAATAGAAAAAGAAAGGTCACTTGTTCCTGTAACATTAACTCTTTCCTATCTTGACCTTACCAATGTTTAGGGGGTCCAGAAGTGGAGATTCCAGCTTAGAACTCCTCCCCTAAAGTGGAGGAAGCTGATTTTCCTGGAATTGAGAATGATAGTACACTACAAAAGGATATTAAAAATTGGTAGGTTTAGGGACTACCCTCAAACTGGTGACATCAATCCCTTTACCCAGGATTTCTTGGGTTCTAGAGATACGATGCATTCAGAGCCTTCCCCTAAGATTTCATGGAAAAGAGTTGAGACGTTTTATTACCAGTGTCCCATCTCCACAAGTCCTAGCAGCTAAGCAGCCCAGCTTGGGCACTATTCCCGGTCTCCTCCCAACCTATTCAGAAACCAATAGCAGTTTTAATTTCACTTCCACAACTTTAATAAGGTCAGCCCAGAAGGGAAGATAAAATCCACACTATGCTCTCCCTCTGCCACTACCCCTGACCTATCACCATTAGTGAGATGAGGTGGCTTCATCCCAACTCCCTCCTCTGTTAGCCAGGCAAGTGTGAATCATTCTGACCAAGACCAGGTGCACAACAGCCTGGGCAGGACTTCTGGCAAATCAACCAGTCCAGCCAGAATTCTTATTCTTTACATGTACCATCTACAAAGCCATTGCCCTACTGGACTGTCTGCTCTGTAGTCAGGACAAGTGGGATCTCTGAAGGACTCCTATATAATACAATTCTCTTTTTTTAGCAGTCACCAAGAGTGGCAAGAGAAGGAGGAAGGCCCTGAGTTGGAGGGGGCCAGAATGCCTGACCGGGACAGCTATACCAACGGTACCGGCAGCAGCGGTGGAGGCCCTGGAGGTGGTAGCAGTGAGGAGGCCACTGGAGCAGCAGCAGGCACTGGTGGGGCCAGCTCAGATGCCATCTGTAGAGACTTCCTGAGGAATGTGTGCAAGAGAGGAAAGCGTTGTCGATATCGCCACCCAGACATGAGTGAGGTATCCAACTTGGGGGTAAGCAAAAATGAATTCATCTTCTGCCATGACTTCCAGAACAAAGAGTGTAGCCGCCCAAACTGCCGTTTCATTCATGGTTCCAAGGAGGATGAGGATGGCTATAAGAAGACAGGAGAGCTTCCACCTCGGCTGAGGCAGAAAGTAGCTGCTGGCCTGGGGCTTTCACCAGCTGACCTACCAAATGGCAAGGAGGAGGTTCCTATCTGCCGTGACTTTCTCAAGGGTGACTGTCAGAGAGGAGCCAAGTGCAAGTTCCGTCACCTGCAAAGGGATTTTGAGTTTGATGCTCGGGGTGGAGGAGGTACTGGTGGTGGAGGCTCAACAGGCTCAGTGCCCCCAGGACGACGCCATGATCTCTATGATATCTATGACCTACCTGACAGGGGCTTTGAGGACCATGAGCCAGGGCCCAAGCGCCGGAGAGGTGGATGCTGCCCTCCTGATGGCCCCCATTTTGAATCATATGAATATAGTTTGGCTCCACCCCGAGGAGTAGAATGCAGACTGCTAGAGGAGGAAAATGCTATGCTCAGGAAGCGTGTAGAAGAGCTAAAGAAGCAGGTCAGCAACCTGTTGGCTACTAATGAGGTACTTCTGGAACAAAATGCCCAGTTCCGCAATCAAGCCAAGGTCATGACCTTGAGTTCTACTGCACCAGCAACTGAGCAAACTCTGGCCCCCACTGTGGGCACTGTTGCCACTTTTAATCATGGCATTGCCCAGACTCACACTACTCTCAGCAGCCAGGCTCTACAGCCTCGTCCTGTGTCCCAGCAAGAACTGGTGGCCCCCACTGGAGCTCCAGCTGCTCCCCCAACTAATGCTGCACCTCCTGCTGCTCCACCACCCCCACCCCCACACTTGAACCCAGAGATCACACCACTGTCAGCTGCTCTGGCTCAAACAATCGCCCAGGGAATGGCACCACCACCTGTCTCCATGGCTCCTGTGGCTGTATCTGTGGCTCCTGTGGCTCCTGTGGCTGTATCGATGGCCCAACCCTTGGCAGGAATCACAATGAGCCACACCACCACTCCCATGGTGACTTACCCCATTGCTTCCCAGAGCATGCGCATCACAGCCATGCCACATTGATGGGGCTAATGGATACTCCCCTGGTATAGCCTCTCAGGGCTGGGTTTGAGGGGTCCTTACCTACCCCCCTAGCCCTCCCAGGCCCTGTCTGAAGGGCTCACTCAAGGACTAGGACAAGAGACTATAAGGAGTATGCTTCTGAGGAGCATTTCCTGAGGTGGGGTTGGGTTGGTGTGTTCTGTCACCACCCTTTTAAGGGGGTCTTCTTGTCCTTTATTCAGGCCTCAATCAAGTCGGGGCTTTCATAGGAATGCAGACTGAAACCAGTGAGAGGAAGGACTGACTAAGTGAGGGGATATGTCCTCTTACAGAAGTTGGGGACATCCTTGATTTTGTCCTCTTGTGAACAGCACAGGTCCTAGCACTGGTTTTGGAAGAAAAAAAATCCCCACACAGAGGGAGAGCCAGGAAAGAATTGGGAAGTGGATGGCCAGGAGAGAAGGCCTCATAGGAGACGATTTGGGGCCCAGTTGGGTTAGATAATACAGGAACTACTGCTGGGCCCCTGAAGAGATCGGGACCATAGTATTCCAGCTCAAAGACTAGGGGAGCCTTCACATACCTAGCTTGGCCTGGAAATCTGTAGGGCAGGGCCCACTACTTTCCAAAGAAATAAAAGAGCAATTATTTTTAACAAATGGAGGCAGTGAAAACTTGCTTAGAAATTTTCTGGAAGAAGGGAGCATAAAGTAGGTCTCATGCCAAAATGGGGTAAGGACCCCACCCTCACAAAGCTTGGGTAAGTTGGATGAAAATCAGCAAAGGGTAGGTATGCAGAACAAGACCAAATGGGGCTTTGAGGAAAGCACTTTGTGGGGAAAAGCATTGGAGCCACCTAGTCTAGTTTAAAAATAGTCCCATCTGTTTCTGATCTCTGTCTGCATGTGCTGTTCCCAGGTTGCCTTAGTAACCAGGGCTCCTAGGGTCATTTAGGGGGGCAAGTACTAAAGAGGGTGTATGTGCTGAGAAATGGGGATGAGGTGTTATGTAGTTGACAAATCCTTCCCTTATTCAAAGAGCAAGGCAGGTGGCAGTTACCTCTCTTAGTTGTTGATGGCATTTACTGTCCCTTCTACCCCAGCCCTTTCTCAGTGGCCAGTCTCTTAAGCCTTCAAGGCTTGGGAGGTGCTGGGAAAAGGGAGTTCTTCTGGGGACACAAGCCTCAGGGTTTATCCCTTTCTTTCTTCTATCTGCATAAAGGACCAGAGGTTTAAAATCCACTTAAGGGTCATTAAGTCCAGAGGCCCAGTAGCCAAACTTCAGTCTCTCCTTAGCTCATGGCTGACGTAGGGGAAACAACTCAGGTATCTGTTCTAAAATTGGGGGTAGAGAAAATGGTCCTGGATGTGCTTCCTTAATTGTATCTCCTGCTGCCTTTTGCTCTGGTGTGGTTAATCACTCAGATTATACACCTGGGGTTGGAGATGGTGGGCTAGATCAAGGCTGGTCACTTAAAAAAATGAAATCGGGAGCAGTGGCACACGCGTGTAGTCCCAGCTACTAGGGAGGCTAAGGTAGGAGGGTCACTTGAGCCCAGGAGTTGGGAGACTAGCCTAGACAACATAGTGAGACCCTGTCTCAAAATAAAGATGGGGGGTGGCCTAAAGACAAAAAACGTGGGCAAGTATTGTTTATGAATTTTAGAAACAACACTTGATAAGTTTAATATTCATCTTCTGGCACAATTCTGGATTATTAAAAAAGATGATTTATGAATATTTAGAGAGGAATATGATTATAGATACCATGAATTCTCAAGTCAGGTCCCAACCTTATTTCCTTCTTGTCAAGTATCTCCAAAGAAGTGAATTTGGGAAACTGTGGACATTGTATGTCTTGTATTCATGCACTCCAGCTAAAGATCACCAGGAATATACATGTAGTACACCAAATACAGTTCAATGCTTATTGCAGTGAAGGAGAGATTGATTATACCACTAGGAATCATGGTGTGTCTCAGCAAAGAGGGTGTTAGAAAGGTCTCAGAGGACTTGGACTTTGGTGAAGACATTTTGGGAAAGGTTCAAGGAAGTGGGTATCCTCTGGAGTGGGTGCTGCCAAAGGAAGCAGGGGTCATTCTATGGTTATTAATTAGAAAGAGGGCAGACTAGAATGAAGCTAAGGCTGCATTTGGGAGTTGGGGATGTTTCTATTTTGTGGTTTGCACATTGATCATTTTGTGCTTAAAAGACATTGTGAAATGATCTTGCTTTTTGGTCTCACTTCATCACAGTCACTGAGTGACTTTGTCTCATGTGGTGTTTTGTGAGATTGTATCCAACCTAAGAACTCATTGGCTTAGCTGTGAGCACCAGGTCAACCCTAGTGATTCCAAAGCGTGGCTGGCTGTATCAGGTTAGTTACCAGATGTCAGGAGCTGGCTTTTGTCTCTCACTTGTGAATCATCGCAAATAAGAAAAAAATTATGGAGCTGGGCATAGTGGCACATATCTGTAATCCAAACTACTTTTGGGAGACTGAGGCAGGAACACTGCAACTTCAAGGCCAGTCTGGCAATTTAGTAAGACTATCTCAAAAAAAAAAAGGGCTGGGGAGGCTGGGGTTGTGGCTTAGTGGTAGAGCAATTGCCTCACATGTTCGAGGCTCTGGGTTCCATCCTTAGCTCCACATAAAAATAACTAAATAAAGTACTGTGTCCATCTACAACTAGAATTTTTGTTTTTTAAAGGGCTGGGGATGTAATTCAGTGGTAATGAACATTAGTAGCTAATGAATGATGATTAGAGAATTCATGTTCAAGAAATCTCTAGACTGTGGTGATATGCCCAGTGGCTATGTTTTATATTATTTTTTTAAAAGTGGAGGTAATACCCCAACTTTGATAAGAATATTAGAAAAACATAATTTAAGGGCTGGGGGTATATGGTTCAGTGGTTGAACGCTTGCGCAAGGCTCCAGGTTCAATCCCTAGTACTACTGGGGATTGAAAAATAAATAAATAAAATAATAATGAAAAAGCCCATAATTTGGACTGAGTAAACACTGGACCCTTCTTCCCTCAAAATATGGCTTAAGGATAAAGCCTTGAGCTTGACTGAATAATAATGTTTAATTCACTTGAGGGTCTGGGACTTCCAGTTGGCTACAAAAATTAAGATCTTGGATGGGAGTATAGCTCATTGGCAGAGATTGGCAGAGTGCTTGCTTAATTCCCCCACAATAACTTTTTTTTTAATAGTCCTCATAATGTCAATTCATAAATATTAAGAGCATGCTAGGTTCTAGGTACATCTTTAGGAGATCCATAAGGATAGTTGAGCCTTAGTCATGTGGGTTGTAAATAAAGTAGTTCTGTGTTCTGCCTAAGTGGAACCATGTAACCGTTTCCTTTTTTATTTATTTATTTATTTATTTTGGTACTTGGGATTGAACCCAGGGGCACTCAACAACTGAGCCACATCCCCAGCCCTATTTTTGTATTTTATTTAGAGAGAGGGTCTCACTGAGTTGCTTAGCGCCTTGTCCTGCCAATGCTGAGGCTGGTTTTGAACCTCACTATCCTCCTGCCTCAGCCTCCTGAGCCACTGGAATTGTAGGCATGCACCGTTGCGCCCAGCTTCATGGACTTCATGGAACTATTTCTAAGTACTGTGAATTTTTCTTTTTTTTTTTCCTTTTCTTTTTTTGGTGTGGGGGAGTACTGGAGCTTGAACCCAGGTGTGCTTTACCACTGAGTTAAATCCCTAGCCCTTTTTATTTTTTATTTTAAGACAGGTCTGGCTTCAAACTTGCTGTGCTTCTGCCTCAGCCTCCTGAGTTGCTAGGATTATAGGTGTGCACCACCATGCCCAGCTATTGTGTGTTCTTCTGATTTTTTTTTTTTTTCTTTTTGGTCCTGGGAATTGCACCCAGAGGCGCTTTGCCACTGAGCCATTCCTTTTTTGTATTTTTTGAGTCAGGGTCTCACCAAGTAGCTTAGAGCCTCACTTAGTTGCTGAGGCTGGTCTCAACTTTCAATCCTCCTGTGTCAGCCTCCCAAGGTGTGTGCCACCACTCTCGGCTTTAATATAAATTTTAAAGAGGGACATTGACAAGGCAGAGGGGTAGTAGCTGGGCGGGGAGTGGGGTGGGAAGGCAAGAGAAGACTGAGGGGAAATTCAATAGATGTCTTCAAATGTTTAAAGGGCTGCCAAAAGGAAGAAGGTCCTATGTTGCTGCACAGGAAATAAACAGGGAGTTCTAGAATAACAGCTAGCATTTCTGAGTGCTTAATGTAAGGCAAGGTACTGTGCAAGACATTTTCCATGAAGTATTTACTGACCCAGTGGATGATATTACCTTACATTTTGCAGAGGAGAAAGCAGGTTTAAAAAGTAATCTGGCCAGGTACAATGGTGCACGCCTCCCAGTGGCTTGGGAGGACAGGAGGCTGAAGCAGAAAGATTGCAAGTTCAAAGCCAGCCTCAGCAACTTAGCAAGGCTCTAAGCAACTTAACAAGACCCTGTCTCAAAAATTTAAAAAAGGTGGGAATGTGGCTCAGTGGTTAAGACCCTCTTAAGCACCCTGATACCATAAATAAAATAAATAGATTAGATAGATAGATAGATCGATCAATCTGTCCAGGGTTCCACAGCTAGTAAGTAATGGGGTCAAGAATCTATTCAATCTTAACTCCAGACTTGTTATAAAAGAGTTCTGATAGAGCCATCCAACGATGGGATAACCAATACCTGGCAGTAAATAATACAGAAGAAAATATCCTCACATCCTGTTGCTTTCCCATATTTATGAGTGGGCTGAGACCAGAATACCACATCTGACCCTCTGTCTCCCCTAGAAAGCAATTATAGATTTCAAGTCCAGGAAGTGTAGATAATCTCTCCCCTCCCTGAAGCTCCACCCTGTAAGACACTTCCTCTAACAAATGGCCATCCCTTCCTGTTAGCCGCTTACTACTTTTCACCACCAGGTGGCACCTGGGAAGCAGAATTGTCAGTGGGTGGAGACCCACCCTGTTTGTGCTGTTACCTTCATTTTGGCTGCCAGTTCGGTGGTTCCCGGTTCCCAGTTGGGACAAAAACCTTTTTGAGGATGAGGTTATGTCTTAAGTAGGAGGGTCTGATAATCTGGATGGAGTGAAGAAGGGCAGAAGTTTTGGAAAGGAGCTTCCACAGGTCACTTTGCCCATTTCTCCAGCCTTTGGAATCCCATCCCTAACAGCAAATTTCATTTTCTAGGGAGTCATCTTCTAAGGAGGTTTATTCATTTCCTAGCTGTAGTTCTGCTTCATCAATTCAAAGCATATTCCCTCCTCCAAGCTGCTTGTTTCCCTTTTCTACCTGTTCATCTCTGGGAATATGGAGAACATGGGCATCAGATAGAAAATTATTCTTTATACCGTTCAGCACACAGAGTAAAGCAGTCTAGATATTGGCAGCCCCAGGGAAGTACAGAAAGGGAAGTGAGAAAAGATTAAGGGAGGGAAGCTTTAAGTAGCTTTGATGAAACAGCCTGATGAAATCTATGCCCTGCAGAGCCAGATAAAATTTTCCAGCTGCAGATCTCGTCTCTCCCCAATAACCAACTCTAGTTCCCCTGCTGCATCAGACTAAATTACACAAGACCATATGTGCGTCGTTAAGAGGTAATCATTTTATGATAAAACCTTCCCTTAGTTTCCAATTAATCTAATTTCTAGGTCCCTGGACAACACTATATTTCTAAGGCAAGTAAATTGGTAACAATAGTCATCAGTGTACCTTGAACTTTTTCCTTCCTAAACCTACACAGTACTATGTAGAATATGTTAATTCTACACCTGACTATATTCCAAATCTTCTAATTCAGAAAAATGAGAAACTGAATCCTCTCACTATCTCGATTTCTCATTTTAATGTCCTAGAAGCTCCTCAAAGTCAAGAAATTCTTGGAATTTCTTGTAATTATTTCTGCAGTGAGTCCTCCCCCCTTCTTGGGGCCAATTTGGTCTCGATCTATAATAAAGATCTGCCGGGCATTTGCAACTCTTGGAGATTTTCAAAAGGAAATCAAGCCTCAATTATTTACTCCTTTACTCCCCACTCCCCAGGCTGTATTATCTCAACTCTGATTCTCTAGTTTTCTCTAGTCAGCCCTTACACTGCACAGACAAGGTAGAGGACTGGGAACAGGATGGACCGGATCCGTCGTCGAACATATCCATTCCAAATAGGGTCATTTCGTTTCTTTTTATAAGGGCAGCCAGGAAAAAAAAAAATTTTTTTTTTGAAGGATAAAGGAATGTGTTTAGAATCGAAACTAGGAAAAGTTGAAAAGTGAACATATAAGAATCCCAGACTAAATCCTGCCCAACCGTCTGAATGGGTGGAGGGAAATATTAACCCACCCACAACCCCTCAACTTAGCAAACCCATCTCCTCTTGAAAACCGAGTAATTGGCGTTGTGGCTCTGCATGACGTCATACCACAGGCGCTATATCCCACGTGGGAGGAGCACTTAGTCCCGCCCAGCTTTAAATAGTGTGCCGCTCCTTCTCCTCTTTACAGCCAATAGAATGCCGTCCTTTAGCCCCTTTCCTCCTTTTCCCGCCATCCCAGACCGCTTATCTTGACACTCTTGTCCAATCAGGGAGGTCCTGCCTCTCCGAAGCTCGCTCCCTTTCCCGCAGAAGACGGGCGGAGTTTCAACCTTTTGACTCCACCTCGGTAAATGCAGCGCGAACCAACCCAAACTGTCAGGGATAGGGGCGTGGCCTGGGTCCCCTCCCCCAACCTGGGGATCACTGCTTGCAAGGGGGGAGCTGGTCTCAAAACTAGGAAATCTTTAGCCGGTGACTGCGTCGGGAGGGTCCTCCCAGAGTTGGCACCATGGAGCGGTCTCCTGGAGAGGGCCCTAGTCCCAGCTCCAACCTGGTGGACCAGCCCGCTGCTCTCTCAGAGCCCCCTGACCAGCCCCCTGCTGCTCACACTAAGCCGGACCCAGGTTCTGGGGTCCCACCTGCTGGCCCAGGCGCGGCGGGTGAGGTGCTGGCGGTGCTGACTTCCTTCGGGCGACGATTGTTGGTGCTGGTACCCGTGTACCTGGCTGGGGCAGTGGGGCTCAGCGTGGGTTTTGTACTCTTCGGCCTTGCCCTGTACCTGGGTTGGCGCCGGGTCCGCGACGAGAAAGAGAAGAGCCTTCGGGCAGCAAGGCAGCTACTGGACGACGAGGAGCGGCTCACAGCAAAAACCCTTTATATGAGTCATCGAGAGCTACCTGCCTGGGTGAGCTACCCACTTCAGTCCTTGTGCAGCACAGCCCCATCTGTTCTTGAGCTCTGCCCCTACTCCTAGAGTCAGCTCCCCAACTTGGGACAGTGAGCCCCAGATTTATACCTCTTGCCCCGCTAGCCGCTTGCCTGTTGGGACTCGCCACAGTTGGAAGGACTACCCAACTCTCCCCACCCACCCTTTCCGCACACCCGAATCGGGTCCTTTCACAGAATCAGGACTTCTTCCTCTACTCTTGGGCAATAGCCAGACAATATCTGGTCCCAAGCCAGGCCATCTTGAACGCTACTCCTGGTTGTTGGTACCCCTGACGCCCTTGCTACTCTGCCCCTGGGTATTTCGGTCCCCATTACTGCTCAGAGGTTCCCTCCCCTTTCCTTGTCTCCTCAAGACTTTTTATTTGGTTTTCCCCTTTTCCTGGTCTTATCCCCAGCCCTCAGAGCATTGCTTAAGTGATCCCCAAAACCTGGACTGACCCTCTGCGGTTGCCTTTCAGCCTCTAGCAGCCCGGCTGCAGTGTAGCCGAGACGGCTGCTGGGTCAAGGGAGCGGGTGCTGGGAAGAGGACAGTGTGCTGCTGCAATTCCCGCTGCCCCCACTGCACTGGCTCCTGTCTGGCCCCACCCTTTTCCGGATTGTCGTTGCGCTTGTTCTCTTGTTCGGTTGACCCAAACCCTTATTTCTGCTCTCCTCTCCAGTGCTGAGGCAGATGCCTTCTCTCTGGCCTTGCAGAGGCAAGGCGGTTTACCCGCCCCTCCTAGCCTCCCTTCCTGCTCCTCCCAGCAGAGGTACAGTCTAGTGGGAGATGGCAGAAGAGAGGAATCAAGTTGAAACTACGCACGTATAGGCACATTTCCAGGCTGGACTGGAGAGGAGAAAGGAGGAGAAATGGTCCTAGGGACTTGTAGCCTAGGCAGCAACTGTCTGTTCCAGCTACTCCTCATCCCATACATCCACAGGTGCCCTTTCCCATGAAAGGAGTCACCCAGGAAGACAGAAAAACAAAGAGGATATGCTTGAGGAAAGGGCTGAAGAAAACGTATATATGGGTATATGGGTATGGTGGGATTTGCTAGGCCACAGCATCCCTTTTCCAAGACAATGAAGGAAAGCTGAGTGAGGTAGCTCACACCTGTAATCCCAGCTACTGAGGAGCCTGAGGTCTGAGGCAGGAGGATTGAAGGTTCCACACCAGCTTCAGCAATTTAAGTGCTGACTCAAAAAAAGAAGGAGAAAAAAAAAAAGCCAAAACAGTGTGTGTGTTGGGGGAGAGGTTGCACAGGGAGGGAAGGCAGATACCATTGTCCTCCTATCCTGCAGACAAAGAAGAACTGCAAACAAATGCTTTAGAGAGGTAAGAGTGACAGACAGACAGACAGACACACACACACACACACACACACACATACACAGCCTGAACAGATCTTCTAGCCCCTCTCTCATTAAGGATTTGCTTTCTTTTTTCACCTGCTTGGGATGGAGGTCCCAGTCTAGTCCAAAGGAAGAAGGGAAGGCTGAACAAAGGAATCAGGATTTTGTCAATCCCAGGATTCCCTCAGCTCTGATTTGACAGGACCTCTCCCTCCAGAAGCAATGTGCCCTTCTCCACTCCTCCTCTGACCCAACAGCTGTCATTTCACATCATTGAGCTATCCACAAAGCATCTTTACATGGCCCATGCCCTTCTGGCTCCCCTTATTTGAGAGCTTCAGATCCCCCAAATTCTGAGAAATGAAACCTTAGGATACTCCCACCCCTGCCAGTTCTGGGTGTGAGGCGTCCCAGTTGTATGGACATGTTCCCTCTTCTTGTGGGTATTCCACAAACTTCTTAGGAAACATAGATGGAAGATGTGTTTGACACTGTCATTGCCTTCCCTACCTGCAGGTCAGCTTCCCAGATGTGGAAAAGGCTGAATGGCTAAACAAGGTGAGGACTATTCTGATATTTATTTCCAATGAAGGGACAATGGGTATTTGTTCCTTTGGCCAGGCATTGCCACACTTTAATTCTAGCCTGAGTCTAGTCCCCAGTACTTCCCATGGGTAGGATTCTGGAGGAACTTGTCTTTAGAGGGTAAATGGGCCTCTCCTCTGACCATCTCCCTTTCCTCCCAGATTGTTGCACAGGTTTGGCCCTTCCTGGGCCAGTATATGGAAAAACTTCTGGCTGAAACTGTGGCCCCAGCTGTTCGGGGATCTAACCCTCATCTGCAAACTTTTACATTTACACGAGTGGAACTGGGTGAAAAGGTATATGTAGGAGGAGATGGGACAGGGAGGATGAAGGGGAGCAGGCTGGAGAAGGCTGAGGTGAGGTGCTTCTGCCTCTCTTGAGATTTCCTCTCTCTCTAGCCATTGCGCATCATAGGAGTCAAAGTTCACCCTAGTCAGAGAAAAGACCAGATCTTGCTGGACTTGAACATTAGGTAATGCCATTCATCACTCTTCCTGCAGTGGGTCCTGGTCACTCCTGGCTGCTTCACACACCCCCTACCCCACTTCAGCCTAGTGTTAACCTTCTTTCTTTTCTTCACCAACCCTCAGCTATGTAGGTGATGTGCAGATTGATGTGGAAGTAAAAAAATATTTCTGCAAAGCAGGAGTAAAAGGCATGCAGGTAGGACAGATGTCAGGAGCCCTCATACTAGAATTGGGAGGGAAATTAATGGGATATGAGGAAGTGGGAGGTTGGAAAAACCAAGGTTGGGGAAGTCTGCATGCCTTTTCTGAGGGAAAGCTTTGGTCTTCTTGCCTTAGCTACATGGCATCTTGCGGGTGATTCTTGAGCCACTCGTGGGGGACCTTCCTATTGTGGGAGCTGTGTCAATGTTCTTTATTCGACGCCCGGTAAGGGAAAACATTGAGGGGGGCGGTGGAGAAGCAGGATTTGGAGGGTGAGAAGGCAATTGACAAAAAGCGGAGAGGCCTAGTGATTATTGGTTGGGTGTGACTGTGACCCATAGGTGCTAGCCTGACCCCCTGCCCTTTCCTTCCAGACCCTGGACATCAACTGGACAGGGATGACTAACCTGCTGGATATCCCAGGACTTAGGTATTATGGGTTTACTGAGCACCTGCTAAGTATCCTAGCCCTGGGTTGAGGGTTTAAGGACTATAAAACAGTAAAAGATATAGCTTGTCCCCTGTAGTTGGGGAGATAAGAAAAATATTCCTGAAAGTTTAATACTGTGGTTTTTCTTCTATGGGAAGAGCATGCATTTTGGTAGGGAATAAAGAGGGTTGAAGACTGCTCAAGCAGGGCAAAAAAGAGAAAAGCTGGGATGGTGATGAAGAAGATATAGAGCAGTAGGTGAGAAATTTGGATATAAGAGTAGCAAAAGGATTTTCAAGAAAAGACTTCCTTATAACTTTAGGTCTCTCTTTGCAGTAAAAAATTTGGATTTGAGGGAAAAATGGAAGGTGGGGCTATATTTCTTTTCCACTCCCCTATTTAGCTCACTCTCTGACACCATGATCATGGATTCCATTGCTGCCTTCCTTGTATTGCCCAACCGACTATTGGTGCCTCTTGTACCTGACCTTCAAGATGTGGCCCAGTTGCGTTCCCCTCTGCCCAGGGTATGGCCTCTCCCCATTCAGATAGATCCTTCTTTTAAAAAAAAACCTGTGCTGGGTTCTTAAGTTTCTCACCAACTGATTCCTAACCCCAGGGCATTATTCGTATTCATCTGCTGGCTGCTCAAGGGCTGAGTTCCAAGGACAAATATGTGAAGGGCCTAATTGAAGGCAAGTCAGATCCCTATGCACTTGTGCGTGTGGGCACCCAGACATTCTGCAGTCGTGTCATCGATGAGGAACTCAACCCTAAGTGGGGAGAGACATATGAGGTAGGAAGCCAAGGGCGAGGAGGCCTGTGCGAAATGGGAAGGCCCTGAGAGGTTGTGGGAGAAGATGCTGATTGTATTATCCTCACAGTTGCAGCCCATGAGACCTTTATCCATCTGTGCTTCCAGGTGATAGTACATGAGGTCCCAGGGCAGGAAATTGAGGTGGAGGTGTTTGACAAGGATCCAGATAAAGATGACTTTCTGGGCAGGTAAGTCTCTGCTTATGTTAAGATTCTGAGACCCCAGAGGTAATTATAGTCATTTTCTGGGACTGGGATTCACATTTTATTTTCCTTCCCCACCCGTGGACACACACACACAAATATCTCAGAGAAGGGTGTTGGTGATCTGCCAGTTATTTCTGGGTGGGTGAGTGAAGGGTCATTGACATGCTACAAATTACAACACTCCCCTTTTCTCCCTCTCCATACCTTTTCTTCTCCCTGCCTCCCAGAATGAAGCTGGATGTAGGAAAGGTATTACAGGCTGGAGTACTGGATGATGTAAGTTGAGGAAAGAGAAAAATGGGAGAGATCGAACCCTTTGGCAGACACTAGCTGCTTCAATGGTGGGAAAGTGGTTGGGTAGGTATCTGACCTCCACTATACCTCACTTTCTTCTACTTCTCCCTTCAGTGGTTCCCTCTACAAGGTGGGCAAGGCCAAGTTCACCTGAGGCTAGAATGGCTGTCACTTTTGCCAGATGCAGAAAAACTGGAGCAGGTAAGCCATACGGGGAAAAAGGAAGCCAGCAGGGAAGAGATATTGAAAGTAGGATTAAGAGAAACAGGGTCTGACTTTTACTTCCTGTTTCCTAGGTTCTACAGTGGAATCGGGGAGTCTCATCTCGACCAGATCCCCCATCAGCTGCCATCCTAGTTGTCTACCTGGATCGGGCCCAAGATCTTCCTGTGAGTTTGCTTCTAGTGTGGATGAATGGGGAGCCTTGGCTGCAGCATTCCCATACTCTCTTTTGCTGAGGACTCAAATGTCCCTGACTTCCTTGCTGTAGAAGCAGGGACATGTAATGCAGGGGTTCCACAAAGGTCCACCTCAGGGAAGAGTTCTGGTGTGATCCTACCTTCCTTCACCAAAATCCAAACTCCCAAGATGCTGACCTTTGAATTCTACCCCCACAGCTGAAGAAGATGAACAAGGAACCCAACCCCATGGTACAACTGTCAATTCAGGATGTGACTCATGAGAGCAAGGTAAAAGTCAGGACATGTGGGGGTGTGACATGGGAGGGGGCCTGTTCTTGAGATGAAGGCTTCCCTTCAGAAAGCCTGCAGGTACTTTATGGAGAAATGGGAATGGGGCTGTCATTCATACCATCCTCCCCATCTCCAGACTGTCTATAGCACCAACAGCCCAGTATGGGAGGAAGCTTTCCGGTTCTTCCTGCAAGACCCTCGAAACCAGGAGCTCGATGTTCAGGTGAGATAATCACTATTCACCTTATTCTTTTTTCCCAAATCTATGCTATTGCTTCTCTCCTTTGATCCCTATTTACTTTCTTTCTTTTCTTTTTTGTGTGTGGTGTGGTGCTTAGTATGGAACCCAAGGACCATTTGTTTGCTAGGCAAGTACTCTACTACTGAGCTACACCCCCCAGTCCCAGAATCAGTTTTTATAATTGACAGTTGTATACTTAAGATGAGTGATTTTTGCCAGATGTGATGGCAGAATGTAATATATTCCCAGCTGCTGGGAGGCTAAGGCAGGGGGATCACAGATTTAAGTCTAGCTTGGGAAATTTAGTGAGACCCCCTTTTTTATTTAAGTATGGTGGCTTGAACCCAGAGGTGCTTTACCACTGAGCTATATCCCAATCCTTTTTATTTATTTTTGAGACAGACAGGGTCTTACTAAGTTGCCAAGCCTGGCCTCAAATTTGCAATCCTCGGGCTGGGGCTATAACTCAGTGGTAGATTGCTTGCCTTGCATGTGTGAGGCACTGGGTTTGAACTTCAGCACCACATACAAATAAATGAATGAATGAATGAATGAATGAATTCCATCTACAACTAAAAAAAAAAAACATGCAATCCTCCTGACTCAGCTTCCCAAATGCTGGGATTAGGATGTGAGGGCCATCTGGCTGTGACATCTGTCACCCCATTGATCGCCAGGGTTGATTCAGCTGATCTGGCTGGCTAGGCGGGTGTCCCCTTCCTCCCTCACCGCTCCATGTACGTCCTCTCGAAGCTGCGCGCTCAGTCGAAGAGGACGACCTTCCCCGATAGAGGAGGACCGTTCTTAGGTCAAGGGTATACGAGTAGCTGCGCTCCCCTGCTAGAACCTCCAAACAAGCTCTCAAGGTCCAAATGCTGGGATTACAGATGTGTGCCACTGGGCGACATTGTCTCGAAATAAATAATATAGAGGGCTGCAGATGTAGTTCAGTGGTAGAGTCAGTGGTTGATAGAGCACCCAACCCATAGATTCAATCCCCAGTATTGCCAAGAACAAGAAGAAGCATTATATGAATGATATGATGTAGCTCAGTCGTAAAGTGCTCCCTAGCATGCACAAGGCCCTGGGTTCTATCTCCACTATTAGAGAAAAAAGAAGAAAGAAAAACAGAAAAGCATGAAACAGTGTCTGCCTTTATAGCACTTACTGGCCAGTGTTTTAGTTTGGGTTTTGGTTTTATACTAGGAATTAAACCCAGGGGGTCTTAACCACTGAGCCAAATCCCAGCCCCTTTTGTATTTTATTTAGAGACAGGGTCTCACTGACTTGCTTAGGGCCTTGTTAAGTTGCTGAGACTGTCATTGAACTTGCAATCCTCCTGCCTCAGCCTCCCAAGCTGCTGGGATTACGGGTGTGTGCCACCATACCCTGCGGAAGTAGACTTTTAATTGAGCCCTGAAGTATATGTAGGATTTAAATAGGCAGGGTGGAGGAAAATGAGAATTTTCCAAGTAATGGGAACAGAATGAGCAAAGGTAAGAGGGACTCTGGCATGGCTAGAGGACTGTAAAGAGATAGCTCTGAAGGGAACAAAAGTTTGTGTTGGTAGAAAGAGGAATGAAACTGGGGCTGTGTTATGATTTCCCATGTGTCTCCCTTTACCCTAATTCCTTCACTACATTTCTTCCTCCTGTACCTGTAGGTGAAGGATGACTCCAGGGCCCTGACTTTAGGGTCACTAACTCTGCCTCTGGCTCGTCTGCTCACTGCCCCTGAACTTACCCTGGACCAGTGGTTCCAGCTCAGCAGCTCTGGCCTAAACTCCAGGCTCTACATGAAACTAGTCATGCGGGTATGGAAATGGAAGAAGTGCTGAGGGATGGGGAAAGGATTGTGGATTCCTCAGTAGTCAGAGTAAGGAAGGGGAGCCTGCTAAGACTAAGTGAGCTGGTATATGTAGAAGCAGCTATCGGGCAATTTTTGTTGGGGTAGCACACACCTGTAATCCCAGGAACTCAAGGGACTGAGGCAGAAGGATCTCAAGTTCAAGACCAGCCTCAGCAATTTAGCAAGACCTTGTCTCAAATGAAAAATAAAGGACTGGGGATGTGATTCAGTGGGTGAAGCTCTCCTGGGTTCATTCCCCAATAGAAAAAAAAAAAAAAAGTTTGTTGATTAATGTGACAGGGGGAGGTCTGGTGGGGATAGGTGTGAAAACAACCTTATAGAGATATGCCCAACCAAGTCAGGGACCTGGTTCCCCTGTCAGAGCCAGGGCTCTGTCTACCAATCCCCGCTTACCTTTGCCTGCTGATGGCTAACTGCACCTCCTTGATTTGGCAACCATACTACCCTCCCAGATCTTGTACTTGAATTCATCAGAAATCTGCTTTCCCACTGGGTCTGGTTCTTGGGACCTAGACAATGAGAGCCCCCAGACAGGCAGCAGTGTGGACGCTCCGCCTCGGCCCAGTCACACAACTCCTGACAGCCACTTTGGGACTGAAGTAAGTTAATATCTGGAAAGCACTAGGGTCTATTTGTATACCCTAAGTAAGCAATGGTTCTGAGAAATTGTGTTTCCTTTAACTGCCACTTGGTGCCCCATCTGTCCTTTTTGCAGAATGTGCTTCGGCTCCATGTATTAGAGGCCCAGGACCTGATTGCCAAAGACCGTTTCTTGGGGGGATTGGTGAAGGGCAAGTCAGACCCCTATGTCAAGCTAAAGCTGGCAGGACGAAGTTTCCGGAGCCGTGTTGTTCGGGAAGATCTCAACCCTCGCTGGAATGAGGTTTTTGAGGTCAGAATTGACTGAGCCTCAGCCTGCCCCATTCTCCCTGCCCCCCCAGTTCTGAGAGTAGTTCATAAACTTCTGGAGTTGCTAGCTGGGTATGGTGGCACACACCTGTAATCCCAACAGCTAAGGAGGCTGAGGCAGAACGATCTCAAGTTTGAGGCCAGCCTCCAATTTATCAAGATCCTGTCTCAAAAAAAGTTGGGAAGTAGCTTAGTAGTAAAATGTCCCTGAGTTCATTCACCCTATTTCCCCCTACTAGGTGATTGTCACATCAATTCCAGGCCAAGAGTTAGAGGTTGAAGTCTTTGACAAGGACTTGGACAAGGATGACTTTCTGGGCAGGTGAGAGGGTGGGAGTTCAAGTGGGCAGACAGGCTGGATCCCTGTAAATCATGGAGTCTGACCTCAGGGAAAGGGAGTGTTGGTTTGATCATCTGCCTCTTGTCTTCATCTTTCTTCTCCATAGATGTAAAGTGAGTCTCACCGCAGTGCTAAACAGTGGCTTCCTTGATGAGGTGGGCATGGGATTAGAACCAACAATCCTTTCTGATCTTGACCCAAGCCTTGTTCTCTTTGTTTTTATCCCCACATCCTCAAGTTTTTCACTGCCTCCTTCCACAGTGGCTGACCCTGGAGGATGTCCCATCTGGCCGTCTGCACTTGCGCCTGGAGCGTCTGACTCCCCGGCCCACTGCTGCTGAGTTAGAGGAGGTAAGGAGGAGACTGGAGGAAGAAAGGAACCCAGGAGGAGGCAGGGTGAGCTCTTCTCAGCTTCCAAGGCTTGTGTCCGACACTAGGTTATCAGTTCCCACCTCTGTCCCCTGTGTGTCCTCCTCCAGGTGCTACAGGTGAACAGTCTGATCCAGACACAGAAGAGCGCAGAGCTGGCGGCAGCCCTGCTGTCAGTCTATGTGGAGCGGGCAGAGGACTTGCCGGTGAGAGCTGTTCCCCACACCCCACAGCTCCCTGGCCCTTCTACCTCCTTCAGGTGTGAATGTTCCTCGTGAATTTGGAATAGTAAATGGCTCCTTTCTTTTTGAGGGTGGTGCTAGGGTGGGATGATTATCCAAGGTTGTGACAGTAATGGCTGTCAAGTGAAAATGGAGACATGGCCACTGGCTGTGGCTATAATTTGTGAGGTAAGGAGCTGCTTAACCAGGTCCAAATTTAAGACTAACACAATATTTTCTTTCCAGCTCCGAAAAGGCACCAAACCTCCTAGTACTTATGCTATTCTTACCGTGGGAGAGACTGCCCATAAAACCAAGGTATTGGGAACTGTTGCAGGGTTAAGAGATAGAGGGAAAAGAAGAGAGGAGGAAGTATCAACCACTGATCTTAACACTTCCTCCCCACCAGACTGTTTCCCAAACCTCAGCCCCTGTGTGGGATGAGAATGCCTCCTTTCTCATCAGGAAGCCACACACTGAGAGCCTGGAGTTGCAGGTACTATAAATTTACTCTACAAATACTTATCAGGTTCTCTAATTAACCTAACTTAATGCTAGCAGAGGTAGAGAAGAGGTATAAATGAGCTCTCAACTCCTCATCTTTCATAGTAGGGAATCACTACATAAAGTTGATAAATCATGAAAAAGATACAGGCATATTAGAATTTAAAAAAAAATTTTGTAGTTGTAGATGGACAGAATGCCTTTATTTTATGTGGTGCTAAGGATTGAACCCAGTGCCTCATGCATGCTAGGCAAGCGCTCTACCACTGAGCCACAGCCCCAGCCCAAGAATTTTTTTTAAAATATATATTTTTTTAAGTTGCTGATAGACATTTATTTATTTATTTATTTATGGTGCTAAGACTCGAACCAGTGCCTCACATATGCCAGGCAAGTGCACTACTGCTGAGCCCCAGCCCCAGCCCGGCATATTAGAATTATACTAGAAAAAAGCAAAACAAAAAATAAATTATATTTATTTATTTGCTTGGGATTGAACCCAGGACCTTGTACATTCTAAGCATGTGTAACTGAGCTACAATCTAGCCCAACAGGAGGGTTTTAAAAGTTGTACATATGGAATATGGAAATGAGAGCAGGGTGAACAGGGAACATTTCATTTTTGCCACTCTTCACTCTTCAGGTAAAAATTTTACTATTGGTAAAATATGTGAAGATTTAGGAAATAGATAGTATACTCTACTTTGGATAAGAGAGGAATGAAAGAGGGACCAGCAATTGTTATCATGGTTTCCTTGCCCTTCACAAAGCTTCTCTTAACAAAACTACCAAAGTGTCCAAGTGTTTAGACTTTGAACATCAGATAAAATAATGTATTGATGATGCATTTGCCTCTGAACACAGCCCTGTTGCTCCACAGGTTCGAGGCGAGGGGACTGGTGCCTTGGGCTCCTTATTCCTGCCCCTCTCTGACCTCCTCGAGGCAGATGGGCTCTGCTTGGACCGTTGGTTTGCACTTACCAATGGTCAGGGGCAGGTGCTACTGAGAGCACAGCTAGGGGTAAGTGCCAGGAGATGGTGGGTGGGCCTAGAGGGAGAGGAGAAGGCCTTTCTGGCTGAAGGACACCAAGAGGGTGGGAACAGAGGGCAGTATCCTTACCGCACGAGAGTTGGGAGAACTATGCCCAGCTTACAGCTTTCTTACTCCCAGATCCTGGCGTCCCAGCACTCAGGAGTGGAAGCTCATAGCCACAGCTCCAGCCACAGCTCCTCCTCGCTGAGTGAAGCAGCAGAGCTTGGTGGGGGACCCCCTCACATCACCTCCTCAGCTCCAGAGCTCCGGCAGCGCCTAACACGTGGTGACAGGTAAAGGGCTGAAACAGAAGACTGGAGACCAGTAGGAGTATAGAGGGTGAGTTTAAGCCTCCCCAGGCGTTACCTTCTCCCAGACCTATTTCCATTTCTTCACAGTCCCCTCGAGGCTCCTTCTGGGCCTCTGGGCCAGGTGAAGTTGACAGTATGGTACTACAGTGAAGAACGGAAGCTGGTCAGCATTATTCACAGCTGCCGGTGAGACCCCTGCATCATGTCCCCCAGCTTCCCTGCATGCCTTTCCTTCGATCACTTCATCACCTACAGCCTCCTGTTGCAGGGCCCTTCAACAAAATGGACGGGATTCCCCTGACCCCTATGTGTCACTGTTGCTACTGCCAGACAAGAATCGAGGTACCAAGAGGAAGACCTCGCAGAAGAAGAAGACCCTCAATCCTGAATTCAACGAACGGTCAGTGAGTGGGCATTCAGATAGAGAGGTGAAAGGCTTGGGAGGCACCCTGGCCCTAACACCCACCCCTCCCCAGGTTTGAGTGGGAACTGCCCCTAGATGAGGCCCTCAGGCGAAAGCTGGATGTCTCGGTGAAGTCTAACTCCTCCTTCATGTCAAGAGAGCGTGAGCTTCTGGGGAAGGTAAGAGGGCAGAGATGGCCAGGGAAAGGAGTGCTGCTGGGACCAAGGCTGTTAGGCACTAATAATGGGGGAGTATCCCAGGTGAAACTTTGGAGGTGACTCCATCACCTCTGCAGTTATTTGGGACCAGTAGTGTGTAATGATGATGGGACACAGTCTTTGAACACATCAAAATAACATCTTATCCCCTACCATCCTCCAACCCAGGTGCAGCTGGACCTGGCTGAGATAGACCTTTCCCAGGGTGCAGCCCAGTGGTAAGTGTCTGCATGGGTGGGGCTGGGGCTGAATATTTAGGTAGAAGAAATCCCAATCTCAGGAAAGAGAAAAAGGATATAATCTGAACTGAGAACCATTGATTCTGACATTAGGAACCCTAGGATTATGTCTCATTTTTAAAAGGACATAAGGATCATCATTCTGTTTGAGCCCTTTCCTTATCTCTCCAGGTATGATCTGATGGATGACAAAGACAAGGGCAGCTCCTAGGAGCTGGTGGTGACCAGCCCAACTTGGCTGCCTTCTTGCCTTGCCTCTTACAGCATCCCCGCCTCCAATATGATGAGCCTAAAGCCAGGGCCCCAGGGCTGAGCCTGTACTCTTCAGCCCTTTTGCCTTTCAGGCCCATACTAGGGCCTTTGCCTGACCAAAGAGAAGGACCATATGTTACCCTTTACTGCATGGCCTTTATCCCTTGGGTTCCTGGGGCAGGGACCTGAGCTGACTATTTCCTGCTCTTTCTGCATATTGTTCTCCCTTCCTCCCAACTCCTCAGGGCCTTCTGTACCTGTGCCTGGCCACTGGCAGCACTAGCAGTGGCATTAGCTTATGCCAAATACAGCTTTTGGAAAGATCTTTCTTCTTTAGCTGGTTGGTCACCTTCTTTGCTACCATGATCAGTCAGACAGGATAGACGTGTGGGAAGGTAGATAGGCTAAACTCTCAAGCTGTGAGCCTTTTGGACTACTGCATGTAGCAGATGTCCAGCAACCTGGGCTCTGTGTCCAGTTCTGTCCTCTCCTTCATCAAGCCTGCCCTACAAATACACCTGCTATAATTCCTAGCACCAGCCTCCAGATTCATTGTCAATCCAGAACATGTGGATTCTACTCAAGCCACCAAGTAGCAAGATACCAGTCTTGGAGCCCCAAGCTGGTGATATGCAGATGGTCTTAAAGGATTCGGGACAGCAGGGCCAATTTTTTGTTCAAGTGCCTAGGTTATAAACTCATTGACTAGAACTGAACCTAATACTCTTAGTTCTGCACCAACTCTGTCAATCTACTATCTTATATTAAACATAATACTCAAACCAGCTGTGGCTGTTTTCCTTAAGAATTGGGAATCCATCCTGGGCATGGTGGCACGTGTCTATAATCATTCCAGCAACTTGGGAGGCTAAGACAGGAGGAATGCAAGTTCAAGGCCAGCCTCAGCAACATAGCAAGACTTCAGCAACTTAGTGAGATCCTGTTTCAAAATATAAAAGGGGCTGGGTATGTAACTGTATGGTAAAATGCCCCTGGGTTAGATCCCTAATACCAAAAAAAAAAAAAAAAGAAAGAAAGAAAGAAAACAATAAAAATTGGGACTCTAGCCTAACTATCAGAAGTTTATTATAAAAGTTTATTATAACTGTCAAAAGCCTTCATTCAAGGGCTGTGGTGGGGCTCAGTGGTAGACCTCTTGCCTAGAATGTGTAAGGCACTGGGTTCAATTCTCAGAACTGCATATAAATAAATAAAATAAAGGTCCATTGACAGCTTAACAAATATTAAAAAAAAAAAAAAAGCCTTCATTCAGTCACAAGTCATGTCAATTGTGAAAACCTACTGAGGGGGGCTGGAGTTGTGGCCCATGGAGAGGTGAAAGGCTTGCCTAGCATGGGTTCCATCCCCAGTACCATATTAAAAAAAAAACAACACCTAAATAAACATCATAAAGGAATGTAACCATCTAGAGTTAAAAAACAAAACAAAAACCTATTGAAGGGGGCTGGGGCTGGGGCTCAGCAGTAGCGCACTTGCCTGGCATATATGAGGCACTGGGTTTGATTCTCAGCACTCACTACATATAAATAATAATAAAAAAAAGGGTCCATTGACAACTAAAAAAAGGTGTTTTTTTTTTTAAAAAAAAAAAAAAACCCAAACCTATTAAGATCACAGTCACCACCAGGCACAGTGCTCACACCTATAATCCCAGCGCCTTGGGAGGCTGAGGCAAGAGGATTACAAGTACAAAGCCAGTCTCAGCAATTTAGTGAGGCCCTAAGCAACTCAGGGAGACCCTGTCTCAAAAAATAAAAAAGGGCTGGAGATGTGACTCAGTAGTTAACCGTCCCCGAATTCTATCCCTGATGATAAAAAAAAAGAGAGAGAGAGAGAGAGATCATAGTCACCAAGAATATTGGTTTCATTGAGGATGGTCAAGGGCCTTGTGTGAAGCAGGTGCTGAGTTTCAGGTAAGACTTATTTCCAGTCAGTGATGAAGTTTTGTTGATCCAGCCTGTCTGCTGATCACTGTCCTCTCATGGCTGGCTGGGGAAAGGATTCCTAAACCTGGTAAACCTGGAAGCTCAGTGCCACAGCATAAGCTTGTAGTCTCAGTGCCATCAGGGCCAGGGCCTGCTCAGTCACATCCAAAAGGGTTTCAGGTTCATCTGACCAGCAACTTAGATTTCATACCCATTTTATTTTTTTTATTTTTTAAATTTTTTTTAGTTGTAGGTGAACCCGATACCTTTATTTAATTAATTTATTTTAATGTGGTGCTGAGGATTGAACCCAGTGCTTCACTGAGCCACATCCCCATCCCTAATTGTGTTTTATTTAGAGACAGGATTTGAGTTGCTTAGCATCTCGCCACTGCGGAGGCTGGCTTTGAACTCCTGTCCTTGACAGAGCACTTATCTACCATTGGAGCATGTGCAAGGCCTTGGCTTCAATCCCCAGGACTGCAAAACAAAAACAAAAACTTAGGATGCTCCCAGTGTGAAGAGGGGAAAGATTCAGGGGAGGAGACTAAGCTCAATTCCATAATTTTTCACAAATTTTCTACCACTGAGCCACAACCTCAGCCCCATATCCATTTTAATACCCATGCTCACTTTGAACTCTGCTCCTCACAGGAGCCATTCTGGAATGTAGGCTCTAGGGATGTGTTCCACGTGTTCTAACTGCTAAATGAAAGGAGAGTGACATGGATGAAAAGTTACTACTAAAAACAGGGTCACTGGAATAGGAATTTGGAGATTTTCTTAGTGCCTCATACGCTTTATCATTTTCTCTAAAATGATAAAAATCTTATCCCAGTGTGCATGCTTATAATCCCAGTTGACTAGGGAGGCTGAGGCAGGAGAATCTCAAGTTTGGGCCAGCCTAATTTTTCACAATTCTCTTTATTGGCAAAAACTGAATTTAACATCTATATTGTCCACTGACTTAGCTGCTTTGTTTTCAGTGATCCCTTTGTACTGATTGCTGGTTCTCCTGCATCTTCCTTCTCATCAATTTAAGAGCACCCCAAGCTTTGCCATGAGAAAGAGGTCTCACTTACTGTTGCTTCCTCCTGACCACTCCAGACCCTTAGTGGGGTAAACTCCAAAGATACAGGGCAGAAGAACTTACATTTTTAAGGTTTCTTACTTAACTATTGGATACTGGGCATGTGACCCAAGACCTGCTGGTCTAGCTGGCTTCAGATAATACACCAGGGATTTTGCTCTATATGATTTTAAGAAATCACTTTAAGTAATTATATTTCTAGAAACCAGAGGACATGGCATAAATTTTCTTAGTCCTGAGAAAATTTGTGCCATGTCCTCTGGAAGGGTCCCTACTCTTTCTTTACCTTTCGAAAGTTCAGGATACAATAGGGAGGAGTACCAATCTACATATTAAATATAAATATATATTATTTATATATATATATATATATATATATATAGAGAGAGAGAGAGAGAGAGAGAGTACCAATCTACATATTAAATATCACACACACTTCATTCAGTATTCAGTACATTTTTTTTTTTTTTTGGTGTGTGTGTGGTGCTGGGGATTAGAACCCAGGGCCTTGTGCATGCAAGGCAAGCACTCTACCAACTGAGCTATATCCCCAGCCCAATGTAGTTCTTTATTTGGGTGGGGGAGTTAAGAACTCAGGGCACTGAGCCACTGAGCCACATCCCCATCCCTAATTGTATTTTATTTAGAGACAGGATTTGAGTTGCTTAGTATCTCGCTACTGCAGAGGCTGGCTTTGAACTCCTGTCCTCCTGCTTCAGCCTCCTGACCTGCTGGAGTAACAGGCATGTGTCACCACACCCGGCAAGTCAATACATAGTTCTTTTATGTACAGGAAGATGAACCAAGTCATTAGTCAGAGGGATTAAATATTCTTGTTATATATCAAAATAGTTTCATTTTTGATATCTGTGATGCATGTTGCACTTTTTCCAGAGAAAGACAGGTATGACTGCATATGGGGACATTGTCATGGCCTTTTGCAAATGCTACTTCATAGGATGTGGCTCTACTGAACTAATGTGCTGTAGTTAACTAACCGGGTGTAGCAACACAGATGGCTACCCAATAGCTTTCTCCTCTTCCCTACATAGAGAACCCCAGAGAATTCCAAGTGACAGTGTGCCAGCCCCATGGGATTAATCACAATCCTCTTTACTGGATACTCATTTTCCCAGACTCCCCTATAACTTGGGATAATTCTGACCCAGTTCTAGTAAAAGTGTAAAAGGAAGTCAGTTGGGGACTGGAGCATCAAAAGAAGTCATGCTGGGCCTAGTGGTGTACGCCTGATAGCAGGGACTCAGAAGGCTGAGGCAGGAAGATCACAAGTTTGAGGCCAGCCTCCGCAATTTAGCAGCCTTAGCAATTTTAGGAATAAGGATATAGCTCAGTGGTACAGCACCCATGAGTCCAATCCCCAGAACCAAAACAAAATAAAAGAAAGCCTCCATATCTCTTCCTTTTGGGGGGTGGGGGGGTTGTGGTGCTGGAGATTAAACTCAGAACCTCTCAACCCCTTCCTTTTTAGGTCATTAGTATCAGGATGTGATGTCTGGAACTATAGCAACTTTTTTTTTTTTTTTAACTGAGCTATATACCCAGTTCTTTTCATTTTATTTTGAGACAGATCTCACTAAGTTGCCCATGTTGGGCTTGAATTTGTGATCTTCCTGTCTTAGCCTCCCAAGTAGCTAGGTATGTGCTTCCATGCCTGGCTAGCAACCTATTTTAAGACCAAAAAGTGACCGACACACAAGGAAAGCTAACATGATTACAGGAATACAAATTTACAAATTAGGATCATAGTATAACCTACTTTATTCACTTAGCACAGAAGCATTTTTATACTTCATAAAGTATTCTTTGAAATCATAATGTATACAGCTGAGGATGTATCTCTGTAGTACAGTATTTGCCTAGCATGCGTAAGGACCTGGGTTCAACTCAATTCTTAGTATCATGAAAAAAATATATAATAGTTGTATATAATGCCACAGAATGAATAGTATTGTGAGGCATAAAGATAGTTCCCAATATTTTGCTAATCACTGGCAATAGACACAAACAATATTTATATATGTCTCAAATGCTTTAATTAGGATAAGTGGGATTACTGGGTCAACTTCTGTACTTTAAAAAAATTTTTTTTTTAGTTGTAGTTAGATGCAATACCTTTATTTTATTTATTTATTTTTATGTGGTGTTGAGGATTGAACTCAGTGCCTCACACGTGCTAGAGGAGCGCTCTACCACTGAGCCACAACCCCAGCTCTCAACCACTGTACTTTAATGACATTTACTGCATTCTTCTAAACTGCAATTTAAGAAGATTATAATGCATGTATCTCATATGTGCCTTTGTCATGTGAAAATTGCTTTCCTATATTCTCTCCAATCCTGAATATTATGAAAATCATGCCAATGGATGTGTAAATTTTTACTTTTATAGATTTTCCTAAGTCTTCCTTCACAGTGAGACTAACAACTGTCCTTTCTTGTTGATGTCAGTCAAGCCCTTTCTCCAGCAGTAATCTACCTGCTAATTTTCTCATATTTGGATGGAATTCCATAAAACTTGTGTAGTATTTCACAGTTGGTGCTACTGGAAATATACAGGGTTTGTTTTGTTTTGCAGTGTTGGGAATCAAACCCAGAGCTTCAAGCATGCCAGACAAGTACTCTTGGATGCAGTAGCCCATGCCTGTAATCCCAGGGCCTTGGGAGGCTGAGGCAGGAGGATCATGAGTTCAAAGCCAGCCTCAGAATTTTAGCAAGGCCCTGATCAACT